TTTTTTGGTAAATAATATACCTATATTTTTATACGTATATATTTATATTTATATTTTTCATATGTACATTATTAGACATGTAATTTACATATATATATATATTTTTGGTTTGCAATTTTAGGGGGCGATATGTTAGAGGGAATGGCAACCAAAAGAAATGGGGTGATTGATATGCTATTAATAGGGAGTTTTAATTACAATTGTAGCAGTTAATGAAATGCTTGGAATTAATTATAAATAAAATATGAAATATGATGGCAATGATGTAAAAACATAGGAATACTACAACCTCTTATATCTTATTGGTCATTTAAGTTTGAAATTGGGTTTTACACATAGATTTATAGAATGATGGATATATGTCTAGGAAATAGAAATTGTAGGGACCTATATTGGACAAGCCCTTCTTATTCGCAGATGGAAAGCCAGCCAAACAAGAAACAACCAAGTCATTTGGTGAGAAAGGGTAGGGAAAAATATGTGAGGATTATGATAGGTAAAGAGTTCATGTACTATCCTGGCTCAAAATTTGCCCAAGAAGTCGGGGGTTTTTGTAGGCCTTCATGTATTACGCTGGAAATATTTACATGGAGAAAATTCGAGGGGAATGTTTTGCCACAATATTATTATTTGGCAACAATTAACAGAGGGAAAATGTAATCAAAGGAACAAGCTCGAGTCTCTAAAATTCTCTCGCTGCCTATTTCTTTTTTTGGTTTAAGTCTAAACTCTTTATTATCTTGTACTAATTTATTTTTTTGTCAGTATCTTACTAATTATAAGAATCTACTGAAGTAAGACTAGAAATATCAACTCAACAAATAAACCCACTTGCAAATTCACCTTCATCAAAGGATATACGACAATAAATAGCAAAGAAGGAGGAATACAAAAAAAAACAAACCTTTCTTTCCTTTTTGTTAGAGGCCATCAGTCAACTTTCCTTTTCCTAACAGGAGAATATTACTTATACGGACAAGGTTGCTAGCAGTAGACTATAAAATCACCCCAAGTTTCTCAACCTTTGCAACTCAAATCACTCAACCCTCCACCTTCCAAAGCCAGATAAAAAAAAAAAAACTCTCCCAAGTTCTCAGACTAATTAGTTAATATTGGAAAGAGCAACAATGGCCTCTGACAAGAAGAAGACGATAATCCTAAAGAGCTCCGACGACGAGAGCTCTGAGGTGGAGGAGACTGTGGCCATGCAGTTTCAAACCATCAAGCACATGGTGGAGGATGAATGTGCCGACAACGCGATACCTCTACCAAACGTTGCTAAAATATTAATATGGTTTGAATACTTTAGGTTAGTTTTTATTATTCTCCATAAGGAGGTATATATAAGAGTTTACATGAGTTCTTTACAAGAAAGTAGATACAGTAATCAGTTAGATAGTATCTCCTAATTATACAATGATCTGATAACTATATAAAATAGGAAAGTAAATCCCTTAATTAATCGAGGAAATAAATCTCCTTGATTAATTAGGAGACTCACGTCAACACTCCTCCCACTATGCCAAATTTCACTTTTAGAAACACTACATAGGCATCGGTAAAACTAAAAATCGTTGCTATTAGTACATTAGGCATCAATTTTGTAAATAAAGATGCTAAACAAATACAAAGACATTAGTACGAATATTTGGTTTTTTATGACGATGCCTTTGATTCCATTTTTAGCATCATCACTCATAATCATAGATGCCTAGGGTTTTTTTTGTTTAAAACGCTTGTTTTGATTCTTGGGTTTGTTGCTTAGGATTATCATCGTTCACTAATAATGAACAACCTAAGAGACTGTTTTCTCCTTTTGGAGATGTGACAGAGGGTATTTCTACTTTTCTTATTAATTTGCTCCAATTATTTATTTATTTTCTTCTGTAATTTGTGGAAATTATTGACTGGTTTTCACCTTTGTGATGATTTTCTCTATCCAAAACCACACTCTGCAGCAATGGCAAAAGACCCAGTTCGAGTTCTTGTCACTGGTGCTGCTGGTATGGTCATTCTTTCAAAATTTACTTCCTTTTCAGTATTATTTTCACTGTTTGGTTGGCTTGAATGAAAATGTGGATGAAGAGAAGAATTTCAAGTTTTTTTGTTGTTGTTATGAGATCAATAAAATTGTTGTTATGTTGAGATGAATTCTTCAACAAGCATGGATTTGAGATTGTTATTTTTATTAATTTTTTGTGTTCCTTGGTTTAGGAGGAGACCAAACAGAGGGTTTGGTTATGTTCTTTGGAATAATTTGATATGTTCTGTATTTCTAAGTATCTTGTGGACTTTGTTTTGGCATCTGATTGCCTTGTTCTGGAAGTGCCCTGTAGACTCTTTGTTTCAATCATGGTACTCTTACACCTATATAAAAACATAGGATTGGATTGTCTTGATTTTAACAGGAATTGTTTGTTGCATCTTTCTGTTTTTGAGAAAATGGAGAATATTGTTGTTTTTTAGAAAATCTTGGTTGTTCTGTTCACTATTGCCTTCTTTTGGAAGCTTATAAAATACATGTGGAGCTTCTTGAGCATGGAGAAGGAGCCTGTGACTGTATTGGTTACTGGTGCTGCAGGCATGCTCAAATCAATCCTTTTATTTCTTCCCCATCCCCACCTGTTTTAAAATAAAAATAAATAAAAAATTACAACTTCATTTTCTTATAATGGTTCGATTCAAAATTCAGATGCCATGTATTGTCACTGCCACAAAACCATCTTGGAATATTTCCTGAATTTTTAAGCTCATGATATCCAATTTTATGATTTGAAATATTGGGCTAAGTATCTAAGTATTTGTCTGTCAACATAAACTTGGATCCGTTTCTGCAAGAAAAGCTAAAGAGAATTGTCCCTCCCTCCCTCCCTCCCTCCACTTGAGCTCCCAATTACAATTAAAGTTAGTGCTGTGGACGACAATCCTCGTAACTTCACTCACTCTCACATATATTGTTCTCTAAAATTATTGGCTTCATTTCTCATCCTGTCACTGCCAGGAATATTTTTTTATGCCTGTTTGTACCCTCCTTTTTCAGTTTTAACTCTATTGTTTATTTCATTCTTGTCTCTATATCTTCCAAGTTCCACACACAAACAAAATTGGCATAGAGAGAAAATTTCGAATCTTCTACTTTTTCTTTTAATTAATGGGTGGTTTTGTAAATCTGTCAATATTTAGCCAAATCCATCAATAATTAATTCTGACTAGCTGTCACATAAACTTTACACTTATAATTTAGTCCTAAAAAGTTTGCAACCACATCTTTTAACACCTTTTAGACTTTTAATACTGCAGCTGCAAGAGAGTTCATTGGTTACTTACTTTACTTATGGGACTTTGTTGTTGCAGATAGGGAAGAACTAAAAAATTCTAGCTTACTATGCATCAGAGAATTAAGATTTTAATTACTATAATCTTTTGAGACTGCATAGAGTTGAAGTTGATGGGTGGCTTTTGCTGGTTTAATGATATATTGATTTTGAAATGAAACAGACTAAACTCATGTAAGCATAAATCATGTGACTTGTAGAATGCTTGAGATGAGAGTACATGTATTTTGAAGCTGCAATCCAACTTGTACACTTTCTACACAAGACTTCTAAACTGCCCTGGTGGTCCCAAGTTCAAAATCAACTGCTATGTTGCCTAGATTGTTCAATATC